TTTTATTTGTTAGTTACCAAGGATCGGCCCGATAATGAATGTGAGTAAGGTAATAATATTATACTGGATAATTTTAAATAATAAGGATGATATTTTATACAATTTTAATGATTTTAGAAAATTAGCATTTATTGAAGGAAAAAAAAAGAGAGAAAAACAAACATGAATTGCCCATTTTGCACAGATTTTTAGCCACGGATTTTGCCCGAAATGAATTTGCACATGGTAAAAATAAATGAATAAACAAAGTTTTCAAGTAATTTATTTATAATAACATACAATAAACTCAATTACTTTCATATAGAATTTTATCACTTTAGTTGGGTATCCATCGTTTTGTACCAAATTTTGAAAAAGTTTGTCTAATTGTTTTGTGGATAAATATTCTTTTAATTCTATTCATTTAATTGAAAAAGGTATTTAAATAGATGTTCTTAGAAACATTAGAATTCCAAGTAATTAATTTATTTATATTAAAATTAAAATCATTTCTTTATCGTATAAATCAACGAAGCAGATATTTTCTTCTTTTATAATACCCAAATCTAAAAAATTAAAATTAATATTATCATCATGATTTCGAAACAAGATTAATTCCTCGGGGTAATTATTATTAAATAAAATTGTAGAGCATTAAAAATTAAAGATAAATAAATCATCAATAAATCTAAAAGTAAATTTAATATTAAGAGTATAACTTTTTCATAATAGTGCAATAAGCTAGTTTAGAGAGAGATGGAAAAATTAGATCCTTGTAGAATTCCATCAATTTGAATAAAAACATCTTTTCCATTGTAAAGATTAAAAGGACAAAAATTAGTTAGAATTTCCCAATAATCAAAAGCGCAGTTAAGGATATTTTTAATGTCATAAAAATAATTTAAAAGAACATCTTTTGATTTGGAAAGGGATTATGGAGAGATAATGGAAATCAAATCGCAATAGAACTAATTCTATTTTGTTTAATAAATTCTGAAATTTGTTGATTATTGGTGATAATCCTAGAAAAACCTTCTTTAATAATAGTGTTGATAATTTTATTTAAGCAGTTAGAGAAAATGATGCTAGGTTTAGTTAGGTAAGTATTAGACCCACACGTGATTGTTCTAAATTTTATAGGAATTTTATGAAATTTAGGACTGATAAGCAAAAAATTTGTATATTGCTAATTTTAATTTTTAATCTTTCATATAAAACTAAATTTTTTTTTAATTATAACATTATTGAAGTTATACTTCTTATGCGACTTCCAACAAGGTTGCGTTAAACGTTTAACGCTACATTTTTATTGGTCGGGAAATCACGTGGTAGGATTCAGTTTTCCCTCATTCATTTCCATAGTGTTTTGGTTCTCACTAGCATAAAAATAATAAAAGTCATGAAAGTATTGTTTTTCTATAAATATTTTTTTAGTTTGTTTTGATACACATATAATTTAATAGGGTAGTATTTTTTATTTTCAAATTTAGTGGATAACAATTGTAAAAAATGAGTGAAAACAATCCCACGGACAATGCGACGGATTTAAGGTTATGTCAAGGTACGTCTCTTGTGAATATCAATTGATTGTTAGGTTTTCTCTTCTGAAATTACATTATGACGCATTCACATACATTATTAATACAAATACATTTTCCAGGGCGAGACGATGAGGCAACCACAAGCACTTCCACTGGTTCAAGAGGTCCACGAGGGAAAAATGCACAATATTACCGTGATTACAGAGCACGGAAGCGAGCGGAGCAGGAAAAAGAGTCGTTGAATAGAACTAGTGATCCTTCTACGACTGCTGATTCTTCTACAATTAACGTTGCAGGTTACTAAGCTTAACTTCTTCCGCGCGGAGGGACTCCACGCACTATTTTTATTTAAATTACTAAGCTGAAAATTTTTACTATTTTTTAACTCCGAAATTAACGAAGTTCAGTAGATAATTTTTTACAGAACATTGCATAATTATAGTGTATGGGGGTAATGGCAAAATTTTTTTTGTAGTTGCTTAATGGATTGAACAATTTTATAAAAATTTGTTGAATTGTTACTATTATTTAATTTTTCCTTATTATTGAAAACAATGTTTTTAAAGTAACAATAAACAGCCCATTTCCATTCTGTTAACATACCTAAAGGTAAAAAGATTTGATATCTTTATACAAAAACTATTGAGATCATTAAGAAAGTATTTTAGAATTTTATTAATTGATGTATGGCAAATGGGTCTGAATTTTGTGCCTTTTATCACTAAATTCCTAAATTCCAAGTTTTCTATAATATTTAAATTACCAGTTATGTATATGTAGCAAAATCAAAATATTTCTCTTCTTCAAAGTGTCATTCATAACCGGGTACACATTAATCCTCCCTAAATTTTTGACGATATCATTATAATTATATATAGATCAAGAGATATTTAAAGCTTTTAACTATGTTAAAATCTTTTAATGGAAATAAAGTTTTTAAATATTCAAAAATATTAAAGTTAATAACGAAACATAAATTATCTAAATTTTTCTTTTCATTTCGGTAAATTTTACTCATTTTAGCTTTTGCAAGATCAAAAGAAAGAATTCTGAAGTGTTACATTCATAGAAGATAAGTTAATACTAATAAGATATTGAAGCACATCATTATTCTTAAGGGAGAAACTTTCATTGGTTTGATATTATAATGTTTATTAAAATCTTTCTCCATATAGGAAATAAAATTGACATTTAATTTGTTATTATTAAGAGAGTTTCAATAACTTCCTCGATTTGTACGCTTATCGAAAAAGTGAGTAAGTTGAGGAGTTATTAAAGTTGTATGCTGGGAAGGTATCGTTTAGCCCCATACGGCAGTCATTTTCTTCCTAAATAGAAATCTTCGGCTATATCGAAAATATTCATTTTAACACTATTAAAATCATGTTCTCTAAAATGATTCAATTCCAGGTTATTGATGATTTTTTTTCTCTTTATATCTGAACGGTGTTGATTAAGTTCTATTTTAACATAACATAGCTTATTATAATAAAACAATAGGTTAACATATAAATACCATTTTTAATTTTACAAACAGATTTCGAGCTATCGTTATTATGTGTTTTTCTTTTTTGTCAATATTAGGGCAAGTTTTACACCTTTTATCACCGCACGTTTAATAAGACGTTTTATTTACTGCGCACAAGCTGAAAAGTATACATCGAATTCATATTAATAAATACAAAATATAGAGAAAACAAGAAAAATTATTGAACTAAAATAAAAGAAAGCATTAAAAATAAATAAAATTAAAAAAATAATAAAAATTCGGGNGTCAAGATATATATATATATACGCTTCTTTTCGGATCCTCTCGCTCAATGGATGGATAATGCAGCAAAAAAATATTAACTATGTAGAGTGAAGAGAGATGATGGAAATACTGAGATCTCATCTTCACGAATTCAACCTTAATGGAGGTGATTTTAAATATGCTAATTAATGAGTGCAGACGATATTATGAAATCAAGATTTCAGACACAGATATTTTGTGTGGATAAACACATTTTTTGTTGTTGACAGATTTCTCACCCTCAAAATAGGGGGGTACACTCAATCTGTGAAATAGGGTTATAATAGTTTGGTTACGACAGCAGTAGAAAGTTTAAATGTGCGATTTTACTTTTTTCTGCATATTTCGAGAACTTTTCAAGTGATTCGAAACATTTTTGCACGCAATTATAAAATTCGTTTAACCAAAGATTCTATAGAAAAATTATTTTTTTTATATTTATTGATTGCGTTTTTTTATTATTTTTCTTAAGAATAGTCAAAAGATTTTGAATTATAACATTTTTACATCGTTTTAATGGATATAATTTTACATGGCAAATTGTAAAATTTGAATGAAATCGAGAGAATTTTAATGAATAGAGAAATCCAATCGAGTCGTATGTTTCAAGTCGGATTTCTCAGGAACTATTCGATAGATTTTGTGCCCCAATGACCCTGTGAAACGATAGGTTCACATGATTTTCTGCATCGGCAGCCCTTGAAATACCACAACATATGGACATTAGTTACCTACCACCACAGTTCTAGTTGTGCTACTATTATCACAATTAGGTGGCTGCAATAATAGCTTGGCGATTTTTTTACAGTATATTATTTAAATTTCTGTCGTAAAACATAATACGAGAAAAAGAAATATTGGTTTAAATTTGTTCAGCAATGTCACAGCCTATAAGTTGGCCATTTTGAAAATTTGCATACACAACTGCAAATTTCTGCTTCAATATAAATTAAATTAAGTAAGGAATTATGTACGGCTTCATTTATGGAAATTGAATACATAAATGTTGGTGTGTTTTCTTTAGTAGCTTAGATGTTCTATTTCATTCAGTGCTCTTTCCTTTTTCATCCCTATGACTGTTTACTCGCTTGATTTTTCTTTAGTTCTACGTCAAAAAGAAAAAAAATCTTTTTATTTAACACTCTACGCATTAGTGTGTTTCACACTATTAAGTGTTATATTTATTTTAGCACTTTAAACCAGAGTGATATTTTCTTACAAGCAATAAAAATCCTTCAAAAGTTTATTTCTTCTTTTACCGGCCATCGCATTTTAATGAAATAATAATAATGGAACAAACAGATGCTTAATGATCAATAATGGCGTCGTATAGTGCGTACTCAGATATTTCGACTGAAAGAGAGTAATTCATGAAATTTTAAAATGACGCGTTTATTTTTTTTCCTTCTCAAATCCATTTTGAAATCGAAAAAATTTTTTTTCTTTCGTAACAGTGATTTTAAGAATTCGCTGTCACAGTGTGTGATATATTCAGACACGTGCACGCGTTTCATTCGAAGAATTTATTCGAGTTTTTTCTTCTTCTTCTTTCCAGCTATAGTTTCTTGTTTACAAGACGATCTCACATGAAAAGTTTTCTCTTTACTCTCTCTCCTCTTCCTTCCCTCCTCCTCCTCCTCCACTCTCAAAACCACTCTCTCTCTCTCCCTTCAGAACAACCATCATTTAGCATCGCAACTCCGCGACTGGAAGGTTCATACCTTTTGGCGCTCCCCCAACCTCTTCCCCGCCTAAACTCTACTCATTCATCCCCATTGCCACAAAGAAAAATAATAAATTTGCAAATGGTATTCACTTCAGTTGCAAACGATAATATACTCTGTTCGGTTGCAAGCGATAATGTTCAGTTCAGTTGCAAACGATAATATACATAATTTTAAGGTGCTCTTAGCAAATAAAGTGACTAACAAGGAAAATATTTTATTTTATTTTGAAGGTTAAATTGTTTTTTAGATTTATAAGTCATTTTTGTCGATTTCATAAAATGACATTTATGAATCGTTTTTAAATTAAAAATGAATGCAAACGATAGGTGATGAATCTTCGCTGAAGACATGAATTCCTTAAAAAGGTGTACATTTCGGAAAACGATACTCAAAATGGCTACTCAGAAACAGTTTTAAAAAGAAAGGGGATTCATCATGATTCATGCTGTGACGTGTGGCGTCGTTCTGTGTATTTTGTGTGTGAATTTTAGTGGTGCGTCCAGGAACTGGATGATGCGTCCGATGCCGTCGCACGATCTCCCAGTATTGGATTTAATTGAACCCAAAGACAAACGATACGATCCGAAGCCGGAGGATCTCAATCCTAAGCCGCTCAGGGATCGGATAGGTCGGGATTTCGACAAGGAGTATATGAGCGAGAGCAGACCCCTAGAGAGTATTCTGCATCCGAACGGGACAGTCGAATTCAGCTTCAAGCGTACCAAGAGGGGTAAACTCATACCCTCCTCTAAGATGCCCAAAGAAATCCGACATCTCCGACTGCACGCGATGAAGTTGCCGGATGGGAGTCGATTTCGCATGAAAGTCGGAAAGAAGATGCGACGCAAATTCAAGCAGATGCTGTGGGCCTACACTTACTGTCCGGTGGCCTACAGGTGGAAGGATCTCGGCATGAGGTTCTGGCCCCGCTGGATCAAGGAGGGATCGTGCTTGACCCTAGGATCCTGCTCCTTCCCCAGTGGCATGTCCTGTAAGCCCCACCGGTTCGTCAGAAAGACAGTATTCAGGTGGCACTGTCAAGACTGGGTGAAGAAAAGACACTGTAAGTGGATACCGGTTAACATACCCATCATCTCGGAGTGCAGTTGCAGTTGTTGAGTGTCGTGTGAAGGATTCGACAGCTAGAATCAAAACCAAATGTTCCATCATGGGATGCCAAAAACGGTGAGTCTTTCCTATTTCTTCCTACCCTTTTTTTTTTTTTACAAAAAAAAACAAGGCTACTACAGTTGTTGGGCAAATTATTAGACGCACTACGAAGATTCTATGTAAAATCTTAATTATCAGGTGATACTCTATACAGCATTATTGTTTTCACTCGACTGTTTGCACTTGTTTACGTTCCTGTATCCATGGGTTAAATGAGACGATACATAATATAAATATAGACTATTTATTATATCAGGTATTATATTAGTATATTCTAATAATTAGACCCAATGATGACAGTGTTTTAAATATCGCGTGGTCTTGCACGAGTTATTTAAAACACTGTGTGGCAATACTTTTATATTTAAACATGCATGCAATGGGTTTTTATTCGGGAGATTTTTCACGTACTTCCCTATTTGTATTGATTTTCAACGTACTGCATGACAATGACGTTCAACGTACTGCAATCTTAGAGTGCATTTAATAATTTGGCCAAGGACTATATTAAATCCTAAATTGAATGGTGTAGTGGAACGAATCAGCGGATTTTGTGGGATTCATATTATTGTGAATATATATAACAAAATGTCCCCTTCCGTATAAAATCGTCTTGTTTTCCAATCATGTCATTTTTCACGAATGAAACCAATCATGGTTTGATAGTCATTACCTCGTTCCATTTCAGTGGGAAACTCTCCCTTGTTTCGATAGATAGAAATACATCGGTTTCACTTGTCTCTGTTCTCACCCTCATTTCATTAACAAAAATGGTTTCATTAATAACAAACTTTTCAAACAAGTCTTTTATAACAAATAAAACTTATTTATGAAAAATAGGATTGTGATTTCCCCTCGGATTAGTAATACTGGGGATCTATCCTGGCTGAAATGTGGGCTATTTAACGGTGTCTCTCAAAATCGTTTCGCATAAGTTTCATTTCATAAAAATATCTTTTTTTTCATAAAAAATTTTCTACGACAAAACGAGTTCGAAACTAGAAAATAAAACCTTTCCGCAGTTTTTCTATAACAAATTTATTTTAATAAATATGTCTATAACAAATCTATTTTATACTTTGAATAACAAACCACTATTTTATGCATTAAAAAAGTTCCTAAGGTCCTGTTTTGCCGACTCAAGTAGGATGAACGTCTTTAAGACGTCTATTTATTATGATTCTAACGTCTATTCATATATCGGCTCTTATTGAACACTAAACATACCAACACTTAATCTATACCTATTTCTAACATAACCGGTTAAATGACCCGACTTTATGTTTCTTGACTGAATGTATGAAATATTGTTTTTTTAAGAAGGAAATAAACTAAAGAAAACTTTAGTATAATTAAACAAAATTGTATACTCTCAATCTTTATGTATTAAAAACACAAAGAATAAGAATTTTTTAATTCATTGCTCGACGCTTTTTTGACATGTACAGGGTGTTTCCATTGTGCATTTTCAGCAAACATATTTCTTCTAATTGTTATTATGTCTATAATTCTTATAATTATGAGAATGACGCTCTGGCAACTCTATTCCAGCTGTTCTCCACACTTTTGATATTACGAGGGTTGCTATTTATATTTCTCGCCTAATAATGAAAAAATAAATATGTAGGATCGAAATTGGTTTTATTGTTTTTCAAAATATTCTCCATGATGAACTTTTGCATGCGTTTGAACCAACTTTCAAAGCACTTTTTCCAGTTCGATTGAGGTAACTCCAAAACATGCGTTTTGAATGCATCAACCGCTTTTTCGGGGGTCGAAAATCGTTGTCCACGTAATTTATTTTTGATGTGTGGGAATAAGAGGACGTCATTGGGTGCCAAATCAGGACTGTAAGGCGGATGACCCATCAGTTCGATCTTTCGCTCCGTCAGAAATGCCTTTATTTGAGTCGATGTGTGAGAGCTCGCATTGTCATGATGAAGAATGATTCGCCTGTTCTTCTGCTTTTTTCGAATTTCTCCGATGACTTCTGGCAAACAAATGGTCGTGTACCATTCAGAATTGACCGTCCTGCGTTGCTCTAACGCCACTGTTGCCACATGACCGTTAATGCCGAAGAAACAGGCAATCATTTGTTTCGATGTGCTTCTTCCTCGAACAACTTTTGTTGGTTTTGCCTCGTCTTGGAAGACCCATACAGTTGATTGCTGTTTTGTTTCCGGCTCATATGCATAGATCCATGATTCGTCACCTGTGTAGATGTTATACACAGCCTTTGATGTACCTTGAACGTATTTTTCCAACATTTCCTTGCACCAATCGACACGAGCCTTTTTTTGAGCGTTTGTCAGATTATGCGGGATCCAACGCGAACAAATTTTTTTTACGCTCAAATGTTCATGCAATATTTTATTGATGCTAGTCATACTAATGTCCAAAGACGCCTCTATCTCACGGTATGTCACATGACGATCTTGCTTTATCAGTTCACGCACAGCATCGATCTTTTCTGGCACAACAACGGATTTTGGACGACCTGCACGGGATTCGTCCTGGATCGAACATCGACCACGATTAAATTCGTTATACCAATTTTTTACAGTGCTGTAGGATGGCGCTTTATCGCTGAATAAAGAATTAAGTTCATCGAAGCACTCTTGTCTTGACAATCCACGTCGAAAGTTATGAAAAATAATGGCACGAAAATGTTCACGATTCAATTCCATTTTTTGAAAGAGAAGAACTTTTCAATTTACCGTCAACAACACAAATGAAGCTATAATGGTAAATCGTATGCTGAATTTATGCTTAAAAATATCAAACTTTCGATCAAAATCGTCTGCGGTCGCCTAGCAACACTTACTGTTGCCAAGGCCAGAAATATAAATAGCAACCCTCGTATATGAAAACACGAAAACAGCAACATAATTCTCAGAACTTGATTGTTTCGACATTTTTCGGGGTAAAAACTAACCTAGGTAGTTAAAAATGATGTGAAGCTATCAAAATTAAACTTTCTGACATGGAAATGCCAATCTAAAACGTTGGGTACTTTCTTGTAATTTGAATTCACAGTTATTCTGATTGAACTCACAACAGTCTTTGCAGAAATGTGCAACTCATCGAATGGAATATGTTGAACACGCATGACATCGTCATTTCTTTTCCGATAACCTTTCATAAATTGTTCTCCCGGTCAAATGACCGGTCGCGGTAGGTATACGGAGAGTATTGTTCGAAACAAGCAAAATAAAAATAATAGTAGAATATTAACTGTTAGAAAAAGTCATGAAGTTAAATGTGCAAAAACGGTAGGATGATAAGCGCATTTTCGATGCAAAAGTTTTTAAACGGTCATTTGACCCATAATGGTATGTTTGGTGTTAAAAATAGCCGGACTTGATTGTTTTTTCTTTCTGATATTTTATTTTTCAAAATCAACATTTATTTCATTTATGACTCCTAAGTAAACTAATAATATCAGAAAAATATGCTATTTTGTTATTGTTTACGTCAGTGTTTCCCAAAGTGTGGTACGCGTACCCCCAGGGGTACGGGAACAGTTTAGCGGGGGTACGCGTTCTAATGCGAAATATTTTGCAACAAACGAAAATTTCAAAAAAATGCATTCAAAAACATGAAAATTTACGATTACGTATTTTTCTATTAGCTATTTTTTGCAGAGATAACAGTTAATAATTAGTGGTGTCAACAGCCAGTTGTGATTTTCAATTTTTGAGCAATTTTTTTATAGTAAAAAATGCATTCCTTTTTTTATTAGGGGTACATAGCGTTACGAAAAATTTAGAAAGGGTACACAAAAGTCATAAGTTTGGGAAACACTGGTTTACGTGCACTTAAGAGTCCCTGGCCAAATGATGACTCTAAGATTCTATGTAACAGCTTAATCATACAGCGTTTATTGTTTTTACTTCACTGTTTGCATTTGTTTACGCTCCTGTATCCATTAGGGTTAACAGTGTCATGCATTACGTTAAAAATAAATACAAATAGGAAGTCTATAAAAATATCTCCTGTATAAAAACGCATGTCTAAGCGCCTACAAACTCGTGCAAAAACATATCATTATTAAAACACTACAGTGCGCCTAATCATTTGATCTAATTATTATAATATATTACCTGATATAATAAATATTACAGATTTGCGCAATATGCCGCCTCATTTATGTAATATACCGTCTAATTTTTATAATCGTTGAAATTATATAATATATCGTCTCATTTAATACATTGATAGAGGAACGTAAACAAGAGCAAACAGTCACATAAAAACAATAAAGCTGTATCGCCTGAGTAATTAAGATTTCACGTAGAATCTTAGAGCGAGTCTCATCATTTAGCCAGAGAGTGTATGTGAACCTCCATAACTCCCTCCAAATAATGAAATCCTCCTTTTTCCACTGGTTTAAATCGGAAAATAGAATTTGCCCGTAATGATACTCATTACATATACAATGAATAAAAAAGAACGAATGAAAAATAAATAAACGAGGTATTGAACAACCTTGATCGTTAGACAAAAAAATTTCAATACGCGCAATACTGAACAAACAATTACCTAGGGTTAAATATGCAGTGAAACCCCGCTATAGTGAACATGGTTTATAGTGAATGAAATGTGCCATTGCTATACACCTATAATATTATTTTTTGTCGATAGATTGAAGCAAAAGAAGATGGGAAATTATGAATTTTTTTTCTGTCTTCTACTGATTTTTCTTCTCCTTATTTTTGGGTCATTTTGAAATGTCTACATAAAATACACATACCGAATTTTAAAACCATTTACTGAGTGAAATGTTTTCTTGTTTGCCTCTCGACATATTGTTTTTTACATTTTATGGGGTATTTATTTAAATAATGCTTCATAAAAGAGAGCAGTTCGGATACTCCCGGCTATAGTGAAGCGAAATGGCGTTCCATTGAATGTTCCACTGTTTTTATAATGTAACCTAAATGAGAAGCAAGATTCGATTTATTTATTTTCATCAAGTCTTAGGACGTTTCATAGTTATTACCCATTAAAAGGTA